TAAAGAGTTCCCTTTTGCCAGAAAAAGCTCAGAAGAAAAGTTCTTCAAGGTCTACATAGGTTCAGGTTTTACCGAAAAAATGACTATCAAACCCAGCACTTGGGTAGGAAATCTGCACACAGTTTTGGCGCGAGGAAGTGGGAATTCAAACAAATCTAAATTTCACATGCCTGAGGGGCTGCCTGAGGAGGGGATGTTGAAGATTCAAATTGATCGATCGTGACGCATCATGGCTTGCCTTAGTCCTAAACATTGCAGGCTCATTGTCAAATGTTAGGTTTACAGAAAATTAAAACTTACATATCATTTTGAAACAGATAAACCGCTAACAGCTGTGTATAAACTTCCCCTGAAGCAGAACCCTAGGGACAAATAACAATATGTTAGCACAAAATCGGCAAAAAGTTTAAATCATTATCTGCTACTTCACAAGTTTGGTAGATAGGACAAGTGCAAAATGCTAGTAACTGTGGTCCAAAACTCACAAAAAATGGGAATATCAAAAGAATTTGAGGAAATTTTACAATTTTGAAAAAAATATATTTCCACTGTACTTACGTCGAGTTCCATTTGTTCGCATTTTATGCAAAGCTCTTCAAAATCCGGCTTTTCTGCAATATCCGCCATCTTTCATTTCTTATTTCTGTGCCAGGTTCAATCGCTGGCTCAATATTTTCCGAAGAAACCTCGAACAACGAAGATTCTCCGAAGACTTTCGTCAGAGTTACAGCAGCTGCAAAGGAAGTCATCCCCAAGCCATGCAGCGCTCCGTCGGTCAATTAAGTGGAATCGCGTCTGTATTTTTGCGTGGATTTCGTTCTTCTGCGTTTGCAGCAATGCCGATCAAGGTAAAAGTATTTTTTCTTTCCCACAGTTTGTAGTAGGTTTAATGTCTATCGCTAGATCTACCTCCCTGGTACTGGATAATGTGCTTGTATTTCAAAGCTTCGCTATTTCACTAAAACCAGCACGTTAACTGCTGGGAAATGACAGGCAATTACGTCTCTTGTCACTTTCGGAGTATTTTTCCTGGGCTGTCCTTGTCAATTAAAATTGCAATTAAAATTTAGCGACCGAGCTGCTCTTTGCTTGAGATAAGCAAAGAGTTATGTTTGCGTAAAGCATGAGCGCGCCATATCAACTTTCCTTATTACCAACTCGTGGTTCGTGTATGACTAAGCATTTTTAAATGATAATTTTAAAATATCCTCAATGTGGACAACTGCAGCTTATTAATAAATTATGCAATTCCCAGGAGAAAAATCATCTTGAGTTTGGACTTTGAATATAGGAGTTTATGTCTACAGACTTGATGAAATTTTTCACATCAAAACATCGCATGAATAAGATTAAGGCTCTTCAAGTTAAGCCCAACAACGTGTGCATTCAAGTTCATCTGATGAATATTCCCATGTGTGTTGCATTTATATCAGTTTGTTTGTATTAAAGGAATATCAGAGAAGAACAAATAAACAAACAAGAAATAAAACAAAACAGAACAAAAATTTACATGTTAGCCTTGCACGTTCAAATTACATAGTCATCAAATGCAGGGTGGGG